CTCTTGACTGAAAAACTTTAGTAGCCCTAAAGATTAATCTAAATATATTTATAGAAATAAATGTCTGCTTGAAAGAATGAAGGATATGGTAAACAAGTTGCTATAAAGAATGCATAATTAGCCGATATAACCATTGATATTTCATTAAAAAGAAGACCATGTTCTTGTTCTTTATGAGAAGTGCTTTTATTTAATTTGAACATAAAGGCATATTGTGTCACCGCAGTTAAATCGGCATCTATCATGATAAAACCTTAATATCACACCTATATAATGAGTTTGGACATTTTAGAGAAATGCTTAATAAATGCACTGTAACTAAACCCATTAGATTTTAGCCGACTAAATTTACTGTAGATTTAGTCGACTAAAACTAGATACAATTCAGGTGACTAAAATATGACAAACTAAATGGCATTTTAGTCAAAAGACTATGACTAAAACAAAATCCTAATTTGCTGTCAAAATTAACACAGCTTTAGTCTAGAAATGTTAAGTTAAAAGTTTAACTGGCGTCTCATAAGCTTGCGTTTTTTCTGCATCTGGTGTTTTCCAGCACAAACGCATTCTGTGTGAATATCAGGACTAGCGATGCGTTTACTTGTAACGTCTGCTAATTTTTTATTCAAAACTGCATTTCCTTCAACTAAAAATAATAATAAAATCATGCTGAAGCTTTAAAATGGCCCAGGCCGAGTGTAAGGTGTATTTGTGGGTCAGACTCACTCTGCTGGGGCCGCGGGGGGCCGGGAGGAACCTCCTGGTTGGGGTCGACGGGAGGTTCAGGGGTCAGACAGTCGAACTGCTCTCGGCTGATCAGGTGCACCTTCTTGAAGTTCTCCACTTCTTGCTGTTGTTACAATATAGCACGGTTACAACCAGACTTACAAGAACATGCCACTAAGACCAGACACTCAACCCAGAACAGCAGGACAAGCAGCACAACAAATATTAAAGCTCTAATGGCAAAACCTTATTTCAAAGCTTTACTCGACACACCTCTGCTCATACCCGTGAACCCCGAGCTGTGGCTCAAACAGCAGTCAGCTGAAGCGAACGCTATCTGGCTTTTCTAGCACTGCTGGCCTTACTGGACGCGGCACGTGAACGGCACAAAGAGCTCGACACAAAAGACCACAACAAACGCTCCGCTGCAAGACCTTTCAGTGCCGTCCGTCCAGAAACACGGCGCTACAGAACACACTCTCAGCAGCCGCGAGAAGAACAGAAGAGCGCGAGAATGGACACACACCCAGATTCTCACAGAATCCACGACAATCCCACACATCAGTCCAATGACAGATGACTTACATCTGCTGAGACTGCGCGGATTTCTGCCGCTGCTGGTGACATCACACGACCCTACAGTACCGCTGAGCATTTCACGAGATTATGAAGTTGTATTGTTGCTCTCAGTGCATTTTTAACAAACGGTTTCTACTGGTTTGTTCTTGGCTATGCAGTCTCCTAGTATTAGAAATGCTTTCAGTGCACTACACTTACATCTGTTATTAGGAGCACTGTCTGATCATTACGAGGCGATAAGTGATTTGCAAGTGTTAAATGTATGTCAAATACATAAATGTGAATTAAAACAATCAGAATAAGTTACCAAGCAAATCAAAGGAGTATCAACAAAATTCATTTTTGCACTACAAAGGTGGCACAGAAGAACAAAAGTGGCATTTAGGTATATTTACAGACGGTTTAATGAGGCTCAGAGGCGAAATGAATGCTTTTAGATTCATGTTATGAAAGTAATTTTTTAAATACAAAGTTTTGAATATAAAAATATGAAATTTAAATAACGTAATATTGAATATTTCATATTGAAATGATATTTTAAAAATGAAAGTAAAATCTCCAGTAGGTGGCAGCAAATTCCTGTCTTTGAATGAATCGACTGAATGAATGATTCAGTGACAAACAGCTGATTCAGAATCGGGGTGTGAATCCTGGTTTCATGATTCGATTCGATATCACGATGCATCACGATTATATCATTTATTTTGTGCATTTTTATTTTATTATATAAGCAGGCTACTTTTTAAAATAGAAATCAAAACAATTGTTAAGAACTTAATCAAATAAATATAGCTTCAAAACAAACAAGCAAATATAAAGTAATAAATAGGGGAAAAAGACAATTACAAGTGATAAAAGAAA